TTTGTGAGCTCGATGAGAGAGTCATGAAGAGCTTTTGTGGAGCAGCAGCAGTGGAGGACTGAGGGCAGTGAGCATGTGCACATGGAGCTTCCAGTCTTGCCGTACGAACCTTTGCTTCCGCTTCATTTGTTTCCAGAAAAGGTGTTTGGAAACATTGGTGCCTGCAAAACTGAATATAAATCCCATGTTTCAGAGCTTTCCTGAAGCTGCTTACAGGAGTTTATGTCACAGACGTAAAAATCATCTGATGAGATTTTCTGTCTTCTGTCAAAGAGACCACACACTCTGCTCGTGAAGTCTGGGGAAACTACCTTACATGTACTTTCTTCTAAATTTAAATACTAATACTAAATTAATTAGCCAAATAAATAGTGCTACTTTACTTGAACCTCAAGATTACACAAGTTGACAGCCAAAAAATGGTCAGGGGTTTCTCAGCTGATTCAGACTAATGTTGGTGTTCTGAGTCCAAATATCACATGCATTTTGCTCTATCAGGTCAACTTTTTGAGATACAGCCATCGTGTTACGGATTATGTACGTCTACGTTATTATGAATTCTGCTTATCAAATTTGATGGAGTAAATAAAAACTGAATGACTTTGGATACGTTGACTTTTATTTCTTGAGGAAAACGGAAAAAACGTCAAGGGTTTCTCAGCTGATGATCCGCAAAAATGTGTTTTTACGCAAAATCGATTTAAAAAAATATTTCTGTAGCAAAAAATCTTGACCTGATTGAGCAAAACCAAGGTCATTTTCGGACTCAGAGCATCAAAATTTGTCTAATTCAGCTGGAAAACCCTGGACTATTTTCAAAAAATATTTTTTGTTACCCATAGTTATCTAAAAAAGTGGTTTCTTTCACATTTTCTGTAAACAGTTTGGATGCGGCTCTTTGATCATCATCCACCGTTTTATTCAGACACAAAACTAAGGCAGGAAACACTTTCACTGTTGGCTGCTAAAAACATTAGAAGGCTGTGGTTCATGTTTTCATTTTTAATGGTTTTATCAGCGCACTTTGTTGTTGTTTTTGGAGACAGATATGAGACACCTGTTGTGCACAGAACCTTGCATAGATCACAGACATTGGAAAAGTCAAATCCAAAAAGGCACAAACATGATCGCAGATGGATTTAGTACATTATTTTTTTATGTGGGATCTGAGTTATCTGAAAAACTATAAGCCAATGAAAAGATGAATTGAGGTAAATTCTAGTTCAATGTTCCTGACTCCCACTGATGAGACGGAAGTGTTGAATGGAATCAGGACATTCAATAATAAAACATCACACGATATGAATTACATCGACTGTGAACTGTTCGAAATGTAGCAAAACTGAAATGATTAAACTTTTCACATCTTTTCATCTCTGCATCTTTCAAATGAAGAAGGCCCAAAGTTATTCCAATTTCCAAAATACTTTACTTACTCTTTCAAATATTTGTTAATGTTTATTTATAACGCGCATTTTTACAGACCAAGGTCACCCAAAGCACTTAACAATGTTCCAAGTTCAGATGTTCAGACCTACTGTGCATGTTTTTAGAGGTAGGGGAAACCGGAGAACCTGGAGGAAACCTACGCAGGCACGGGGAGCACATGCAAACTCTGCTCAGAAAGGCCCCGTTCCGACCGGGATTCGAACCCAGGACCTTCTTGCTGAGAAGGGAGAGTGCTAAACACAGCCAAGTGATTTGCTGACTGATAGTCAATATGGGTTTAGGAAGAAGACTTCATGAGCACTGATTGACTCGATGGATTATTTATTGATCTTTAAAAAGCTTTGGATTTAATTTTTTTAACAAACAAATTGGAAAACTATTGTATGAGAGTTTTGGCAAGAAAAAGGTTAGAGAGATATTTATGCAGAAGACATAGACATTCTCTTTGCTGATGATAATTCAGGTTCAGGTCATGACATGGAGCCACTTTTGACCACTGTGGAAATGTACAAACTAAAAATATGCTTTAACCAAAATAAATTGTCACTAAATTTAAAAAAGACCATAATCATGCTTTGTGGCAATCACAATAGTAATATACCAGTCAGCCTGACAATTGATGATGTACCTATTGAGATAGTTACACAAAATGTTTATGTTTATGTGTTTAATAGACAAGAAGTTGTCATGGAAACCTCACATGAGTTACCTGAGAACAACAGTTTCTAATGATGATGAACGTGAGCAAACCTTTTAATGAACACTGAAGCTTTTACTGTATCATTCATTCATCATGTCATATTTAAATTACTGTGTTGAAAGAAAATCCCATTTACAGCCCTTAATTACACTGCAACACAAAGGCCTTTTGTATTGTAACTAATGTGCACCATAGGCATCAGAACTTAAACTGCAGGATGTAATTAACCTTAACTGTTCAGGGCATCTGGGAACTCTCTGACACCTGATGTACAGAACCTGTTCCATAGTTACAGACTGAGGGGAAACAAAACTGTATGGAATGACTTAGCAGAGGAATAAAAACAATTTCAAACCTGTTACAATGTTTTAAAACTTTTAAAACTAAGTGCTGAAGAAGGACATGCAGGAGAATGATGCCCACAGAGCAGGAGATGGAAGAGAGGGGTAGGGTCAGAGAGTGTTTTGGCCTGTGTGTGTGTGTGTGTGTGTGTGTGTGTGTGTGTGTGTGTGTGTTTTATCCTGTGTATGATTGTGTTGGACTGTGAGAGGTGTTGGGATCAGATTAGCGTCTGCTTCATCCAACCCCTTTTCAAACCTGTATTACTGTAAATACATTCGAAATTGTGTTCTGCAGGTTTGAAATAAATCAAACTAACTAAATCAAAATAGCTAGGTACGCCTGGATCATTGTCTGTTTTGTCATTTTTATTTTATCTCCTGTAGTAGCTGATACATTGAAATACAGTCCACATGAAGTGAACATAAAAGCTGTTGAAGCGGTCCGTATGTCTGCAGCGTGTGAACATGGTTCTATCGTGTCATTTCTGATTCTCCTAAATCTACAAACAGCAGACAGGTTTTCGTCATCCGTGTGTCACCTCGGCCCCTACGGCAGTGTGGCTGCAGCAGAGCTTTTGTCTCAGATGTGACAGATTCCACAGACCCCACAGACATAACACATACATTATTGTTACTCAGGCAACGCTTTCCTGAAAACGGGGAGGGCTTAAATTGGACAAAAAATCCTGTAGTCTGTTGCCAGCCTAAGTGGGGTCTGGGTGTTTGGGGAGCACTGTCATCAGGAACAAGAGTCAACATGCTTGTCTTTGCTCTGCACTGAAGCACAGGATCACGCACAGAAGGACAGATGGACATGACAGCTCTGGAACATATCCGAGCCAAGGCCCTGGCTGAAGGGAGCAGTCGGAAATCCAAAAGGATTTTGTCAAATGATCAACAATCTGGAACCGTTTATACAATACTAATAAATACAGTTGTTAGTATCATGCAAGAGAGTCCGCCTTCATACTCCTTGTTAGATGTCAATATTTCATTATCTGCTGTAAGGTATTTATAAGATATTCGTCAATGCATGTATTAAACATATACTTATGTATCACAATATATCCATGCCGTCTCCTTATGCTTGTTATGCATCTTACACATAATTCATTCCAAAGGAGACGTGCAGTCTTCTTGAACACACACATGCACACACACACTTTGGCGCCGGAAGGTGGCGCCCTACGGGGACTACGGATGGAAAATAGCTTGATGCTAAATCTGGCGTAGCCATATTTTTAATGTAACTACATTTTGTCCCTTAAACAAACAAACTTAATTCATTCACAGGAACTCACATGTTCTCAAATACACACACACACACATATATACACACATATACACACACACACACATACAACCGTCTTTCAAACATCTTCTTCCTGGCGACACAGTGACACCTAAAGCCTTTAGGTAACCATAGGTAAAATCATCCAGTCATCTATACATGAATACATTGTATTGAGTTGAAAGCGATTCTCCAGAATGTAGAGAAAATTACAAACTATTTCAAAACTATTCACCGTGATGTTTGATAGCCTGACTCTCGCCAGAACCTTGTAGTTCTGTATTGGAGATGTATTTAAGAAGGCCTTGTTGAAAACTAATCATTGAATGTGATTCGATAAACCACTTGTCCGTTATTTGGATGACGTGCTACTTCAACCACTTACATTGAAGCACACGACTCCTCACTGCAGGCAGGAGTCTCCGGTCCATTTGGACCAGAACCTCCCACCATAAGAACAGTTTCTTCCCCTCTGCTGTTGGACTCTTGAACACTTCATAACCTGTCCCCCGTCCTTTAGAAAGTACATTACTGCTCTTTGTAAAGCCACTTTACTGTCGTCAATGTATATTGTATTTTGCGTGCACCGAGTGCACTTGTGTATTGTAATAATTGTAGTAATTTTACTTTTTAATTCTTTATATTGTAGAAAATGTTATACTTTATGTTAATGTGGTCATTTACAGTCAATCCTGACAACATCACAAACACACAAGGCATAGTTCAGGCATTCTTTAATACTTGGTGAACCTTCCAAGGAAACATGTCTGACCTCAGTCAGGCTGCAAAGCAGTATAGCAGGAGATAAGACTCACCTTCCACAGGAAGAGGAACCAACAGAAAACAAAAGGACAGTGCCTCCTTAAAGTCCATAGCCTCCTTAAAGCCTCTCCATGTGGGCTCTCTCAGACCTCCTGGCACCAAAGTGAATTTTAGCATTCAGTATATAATTTAACCACACATGATTTACCAAAATGATAACTGAAGTTACAGTTACTGAAGTGTTTTATTATGCCTTATTGGTTTTCTTGATTTCTTGCACCAAGAGCCAAAACCATTTCCTAGCCTGTGACTTCCTTCTATGGCAATAAAAGGATTCTGATTCTGATGGGAGTATTCAGCAGTCATTTGGCACCACTTTTTGGTTTGCAATTTGAAAAAATGGAGGATAAATGGGAGGAAAATGGATGGATGGAGTGAACCACTTTAAACACAAATTTCATGTCACCACCTGCAAAGAAAGAGTGGAACATATAATTGGGTTTAAGAGTAAAAAGTACTAATACCAAAATAAAGTCCAGTGTTTGAGTAATAATACTTGTCACTATAGGAAAAGTGTGTAAACACATTGAACATAATCAGCTTTGAAAACATTTTGTTTTTGGATGTGACTTGTCCACCAGAGCAGTGCAAAAAGAGGAGAGGGGTAATTATGAATAATTGGCGAGACGACTCGCTGCGGCTCTTTCAGTGACTCGGTGATGAGAGATGCCTCCAGCGACTTGAAGCCAATCAGAAACAGCATGCCAGAAGTGTGGCCAGAATCTTCTCCAGCCTTGATTTTCCATTGCATCTGGAACATGGCAATCCAGCAACTGCTTTTGTACACTCAAGGACATACACAAACGCGTGCACACACAAGAGCACACACGCACATGTCACTGGGGGAAAAAGGCCCTTTTTTCCCGGTTTTGAAAAGGACCACTGAGTTAAAAGTCGTAAAAGCATAAAATAAACATTTAACAAAATAAACCTTTGCTTAAAAGATGTGTTAAAACAGGGATTATTTAGTGGGTTAGAAAAGACAAGCTAAAACAAAGCACTGCTGCTCAGTCCTTACTTCTCAATTCTGTGTGGCACCAGTTTTTGGTCTTGGATCTTTGGCCACGCCCCTGGACCATGGTCAGACCATGGGGCTCTCGCCTCCCTGAGTCTGGCCACGTGTCCTGCTATCCGGCTTCCTCCTCCTTCCCCCTCCACATCCCTGCCTTTTGTACCCAAGACATAGGTGTTGTAATTATCTGCAGTCACGTGGGGAGCTGGGTGCTTCTGGTGCCAGTCACTAAAATGAATTAAAAACACACAACATGTATGAAAACTATTTAAAAACACACTCTTCCCTTTGCACCACCCGACACTCCCCTCTGCTTTTACACCATCAGCCCCTGCCATTAGGAAAATACCTGTACTTTTTCGCTCTTTCAATCTCTGAGGTCAATCATCGCTTTTGCACCACCCGACACACACACACACACACACACACACACACACACACACACACGCACAAAGAGCACAAGGTAAATGAACAGAGACTTTGAATGACCTGCATCACATTCACATTGGAAGACATTATTCCACACTCAGCGGCACGGTGGCTGAGTGGATAGCACTCTCGCCTCTCAGCAAGAAGGTCCTGGGTTCGAATCCCGGTCGGACCAGGGCCTTTCTGAGTGGAGTTTGCATGTTCTCCCCGTGTCTGCGTAGGTTTCCTCCGGGTACTCCGGTTTCCCCTACCACTAAAAATATGTCCAATAGTTCTGGCATGCGCCTCCTGTACCGGCCCCGCTCCCATCTCTGTGTGGAGTGAGAGACAAATGCCCAAAAATTAACAATTGTAAACCGCTTTGAGACTCAGATCTGCAGTGAAAAGGCGGTATATAAATAAAAACTTACTTACTTATTCATTTTCAATACAAATGGAAAAGATTAGACACACCCTAATTTGTCTTTTATATGAAACTAGTTACAATCCAATAAAACGTAGATGAAGAAAACATTATTTATTTGTCATTGAAAGCACGGTAAAAGTACACAACAGTCAACAACATTGTGTGTAAAAAAGTGTGTTTGCGGCGCACACCGTGAACCCAAGGGCGTAGGTTTGCGTGGGGACCATGGGGACATGTCCCCACCAATATTTGGTGAGGACTAAAAAGTCCCCACCAAAATGACATGATGTCCCGTGACCCGGACGGTCCGGGACACATGTCTTCCGTTTGTGCACACGTCGCGCCTCCTCCTCGCCTCCAGAGCAACAGCAGCAGCAGCAGCACGTGACCCGTTCCGTTCTCTGCAGTGATTGGCTGTCTTCTTCAGCGCCAAACTGAAGCACTGAGCGACTGTTTAATTTTTAAAATTTAGCCAGCGTGAAGCAAGTGTTTTTTTTCGTTCCCTGAGCGTTGTAGCACGTGAGTAATCAGAGGAAAGTACTGTAGATCTATTACCATTCAAAGTACTTACATTATTTCTAATCTGTCAGCGCACTGTTTAATGTTCCGAGGAGCTCACACGGCACAGAGACAGAACAGAACTGGCTCCAATAAAGAAACAGGTTGGTTGAAAGGCTGAAAAAATACTTATTGTGCTCTTACTATCCAAAATGTATAAGTGGGTGTTTTGTGTGAATCAGGATAAACTAGGGATGAAAATATTCCACGGATCCACGATTTACAACCTTTATCTGCTGATAATGTAATTTCTGTGAAATGTGTGACAGCGGGCACTTGCTGTTATTTGCTCTAAGCACATTCAAGTGATGCACTCGAATGTGCACGTCCTGGTGCAGCTGCTGCCGCTTTGTAATGACAGCCGCGGCGCTCAGTGAAAGCACAGCTCTAACATGGTACCGAGCTCGGACCATATGCAGACAGAACCATGTTGCAAGTGCGGGTCTCCCTCGTATCTCCCCCGTTTCTCCCCTGTGTCTCTGACATGTCTCTCCCCTGACTCTTCCCAAAGCGCAACCAGCGCTCCCGAAATTAAAGCTCGGATACCTAAATTTTCCATTGCGTTAACGATGCATGCTGGTTGTGCGCAAAACACACCACAACAGGTCATTTAAGTTTTTATTTTGCATACTTGAGAGCCCTGTGAGTCATTACTTGCCTTTTTGGGTTGAGAGTGGAATTAAAAAAAAGAAAATATAGAAAAATCCACACTGTTACTTATTGCCAAACTCTTGTTAACTCATTGTATTGAGAAATACTATGTAACTTTTGACATTGGCCAAGTTATATAAATGATTCTGCAGTTCATGTATATGAATGTCTGTTTTTGATTGTCTATACCTTCTTATATAATTTAGAAAAAATGCCACCTCCACAAAAAAAGATAAAAGATATCAGGAGCTTTTTTAACAGTTGGAAAGTAAGTAAGAGAAAGCACAAGTAATAGCAAATTATGAATTGTGATGATTAATCTTCTGTTAACATACATAGGAAACTCAACCAACAAGAGAGAACAATATAGGGAATGTTGAGGTAGAAGCAACAGGCCCTTCAGTGCATCAGGCGAGGTTGGAATTTTGTAGGTATGCATGGGACTATGAATTGTTTTTAGAGATTGATCGTATATGTCAAACAATGTAGTGAGCTACTCACTGTAGATTCTAATTCAATATTTTCTCCTCTGTTTTTATTTATTATAGGAAATTGAAAGATCAGAGCATGATTTATTTCAAGTATCGAGAGCAGTTCCTGAACTGTTAGAGCCTCAGGTGAGGGCTATTATGTAGATTTGGATTAGGTTTAAGTCAGTATAGAATGAACGCAACACAAAACTCAGAAGCTCTGATCCAATTGATTTTGTTTTAACTATTAGAAAAAATCCTTAACTGCTTCTCATTCAGTCTACAGCTGAGTTTAGTATAGAAGGCAACACACTATTGCAAATATAGTGTGTGATTACACAACAAATTCTGGGAGAGAAACTCTGGACCCCGTGTGAATGGGTGTAGACTCAGGTAGTAGTGAATGTCCCCACCAAGATTGGAACCAAACCTTCACCATTGCGTGAACCCAAGGACCAGAGCCAAACCGTCAGCAGTAATTTAATGCTCTATGATGATGGAGAGTGAAAACTTTGACCAGCGCTGAGTTCCAGCACACAGTGGAACAACATGAAGATACGGGACATCATCAACTGTTATCCTTTTGATCATTAACCTAAAGCTTTGGACCAGGGGTGAGGGTTGGATCATAGTTAGACTAGTAAAAACAGTTTTAAGAAGACATATTATGCATTTTTGGGCTAAAATTATAATGATACAATTTACTTTTTTCATGTTTTAGAAAGTAAAATAATACCTGAGAAAAACGCATATATATGGAGAAAGAAATGATGAGGGTGTTTCCGTCTGTAATGCTCTGAGCTACCAGCAGAGGGCAGAGTTTTGATTGAAAAGAATCGCTTGAGAAATAGGCTCTTCCTGTTTTGTGTCTTAGCTCGAGCACTTCCCATTTATTGTTTCTTTTATTTTAGCTCTGTGTGGTTGATGAAAGCATGAATAAGCTACTGAAAAGTTGTGATTTCAAAGAGATCCTGAACAGAGCGGGTGTAAAACCGTGGCATTGTTTCAGTAAAAAAACAGGGTAATTACAACACAGGAAGTGCTTGTGCTAAGACATGAACCTTTAAGTGGGTGGCACGGTGGCTGAGTGGATAGCACTCTCGCCACTCAGCAAGAAGGTCCTGCAGTTCGAATCCCGGTCAGACCAGGGCCTTTCTGAGTGGAGTTTGCATGTTCTCCCTGTGTCTGCGTAGGTTTCCTCCAGGCACTCCGGTTTCCCCTACCACTAAAAACATGCACAATAGGTCTGGAATGCGCTTCCTGTTTGGTGACCCCGCTCCCATCTCTGTGTGGAGTGAGAAGACAAATGCCCAAAATAGCAATTGTAAACCGCTTTGTGACTCTGGTCTGTGAAAGACGGTATATAAATAAAGATTACTTACCTTTGGACTGTGCATAGAGCCCATCATTAAAACACATTTGTAGTCAGTTTAATAGTTTAAAATGGCAGACACCGCCCTGAATTGATGGCATAGAGATACAACAACATACTATTGAAGGACTGAGACAGGAGCTCAGTCCTGATAGTTCCTGATAGTAGCGTGGACAGATCTAAAATGGAGAGAACAATATTTCCACATGGTTAAAATCTCAAAGAGCATTTAGCATAATATGTCTCCTTTAGATGTTATTATATGAAACTATTTTCCGTCAAACTTACAAACTCTTTGCAACACAAAGTCAATACAAAACTTTGAACAAAAAATGTGTGAAGCTAGTTTTATTGGTGTGGTCTCTTGCTGTGCTCATTAATTACTGTAAAACATTTGGGTTGTGATAAAAACCTGCATTCGTCATAAAATCGCACAATGACAGCAGTGCTTTTTTGCATGCAGTGTCCGTGTTTGAAAAGCAGAGGGCGCGTCAGGAGATACCGGCGTTTCGTCTTTGGACTCGGTTAAGGAGCCGCTGGAGGTTGACAGTATTCGGCCGCACACCAGTTCAGCCGCCCTGCCGTCCATGGCTGAGATATCGGTGACGGTCTTCTCCCTCAGCGACATGTCCCCATCATCCTCATCATCGATCAACACAAACTCCTTCATATAAACTCCTCCAGCGCACGGAACGCTCTCCTCTAAAATCTGGTTATCCACAAAAGTCAGCGTGGAAGTCTCCGTCATGGTCTCAGGGGGGTCTGTTGAGTTTTCCTCTGCCTGACTGCTCGTGTCCAAAACCCACATAGTATTTTTGTGGCTCTCGTCTCGCACACTTCGCTCTTTAGTTTCTGCGGCTGGACTGTCCGTAGCGTGGCCGTTTCCATTGAACGATTTGTAAGACACCTTTTGGAAGTCATGGTCAACCTGAACACCACTGCCGCCTGTGGGAGAGGACAGTGGAATGGTCTCGGGGCAGGCCTTGGATCGCTTCTTCATCTTGGAACTTTCTAGAGAGAAAAAAAAATATGATTTAGGTTTACACAAAATGATTATATAAATGCTGGTGTCTTTATGAAACTGCCATAAACATTGGTGTTGGTAAATGTTACGTCCCACAGCCCGTAATTCCCTATTTTGGAGATCAATTTAGTTTTTCCCGTGGCATCTCTGTGTTTTTGTGTTTGGCCAGGCGTTCCCCAACTGGAGCTGATGCCTGCGTGCTGATTGGGCAGCAGCTAAGGCAATCCTCCAATCAGCGCATGCTCACCTGGAGGACCCGCCCTTATAAGCTGCCAATCTACCTCGGCTCGGGGCAGCTGGAGTTAGTGGACTCCAGTTCGCCATTTAGTTTTTTTGTTGTTCTGTCACTTGTTTTGTCAATTGCTTACTTGTTTAGTAGGTTATTTATTTACTCTGTGTGTTTTGTGAATATTTAATCCTATTTGGTTACCAGTTTTACCTATTTCGTCAAGACCACGCTCGTGAGTCCTGGGCTCCAAGTGGCCAGTTTTACCATTTTAACATCTTGGTTATTTTGTTACTTCCTTACACCAAAGCTGAGCCGGGTCGTAACAGTATGTATCCATCATATATGTCTACGATGTTAGAGATTTATCTATGGGCTTTGAGTTTGAGGTTTATATTACAAAGTATCTCTTCCGTAGATATTTGTTAACACAAACCTTCAAACACATTTTGAAAATATTAAAGAGCGACTAAACACCTGTGCACAGCCTGACTCGCCCACATGAAGATTTGATAATTTTCTCTTAAAAGGGCGTTGCCAGAGGACCAAGGGACAAGAAGGGGGGCTTAGAGTTGGGCGTGGTCTGGGCTGTGATTGACAGCTCACTTGTCACACGAAAAAAAACAGACAGTTGTCATTGCTGCTTAAAACAATAGTTTACACCAGAAAGTCTCATTCCACCCTTGTTTATACACTAAGATAATTGTGAAGCTACACACCTGAACCTACTCACACACAATAATCTCAGAATTACTCATGTAATTTAATTTTAATCCACTAGATGTCGTCAGAATACTCCAACCTGCTGCTGCGGCGTGTGTGAGAGTTGAATGGGCAGACAGACGCACGTCACACACACAAACTGACGTCACACACACCAACTGACGTCACACACACAAACTGACGTCACACACACCAACTGACGTCACACACACACCAACTGACGTCACACACACAAACTGACGTCACACACACTAACTGACGTCACACACACCAACTGACGTCACACACACAAACTGACGTCACACACACCAACTGACATCACACACACAAATTGACGTCACACACACCAACTGACGTCACACACACAAACTGACGTCACACACACCAACTGACGTCACACACACCAACTGACGTCACACACACCAACTGACGTCACACACACCAACTGACGTCACACACACCAACTGACGTCACACACACAAATTGACGTCACACAGAATTACAGAAGTCAATGGAGAGGCCAGGACCAAATTCAAATGTAGTACCACCGAAAAGGTAGAGAGGGCGCCACACAGACGTTTTTTGGCTCAAAAGTGAGATTTTATCTAATTTGAACTAAAATGTCAAAAAAAATGACCAGGACATGTAGAGAGCACTACAATAAACATATTTATGCAGATTATGAGTCAAAAAAAGTTGATTTGGTGTTTAGTCGCTCTTTAAGCTCCCACTACAAGAAAAATGATTTGATTTGAATGCGCTGGAAACGGCAGCATGTCCTCAGTCGCTCTAAACAGTTGTTGTTTTGTGCCATAATAGTTATTTTTACACCGATCCAAAGCAGAGAAAGTGGTAATAGATTTCATGTGTTCAGGTCAGAGTTCATTGCTACTCCAAGATTTCAGGGTTAACTTGAAGGAATTGTTTTGCCTTCACTCACTGGTCTGCTGAACACATTGGCAGAATGAAAGTATTGCTCCATATTCAACTGCTGTCAGTGAAACATACATCTGGGTGCCCGCTGCGTTATTGTGATAGGACGCTTTAGTATTCTGGATTGCCTGGCCTCGAAGCAGCATGTAAATGTTCAATATGATCTGAAGCACAGTCCCCTATTTATTCAAAAAGCATTTGGCCGTCAAGAAAGGATCCACACCAATGTATGGCAGCATCAGACACGCCCACCCACATTTCCAGTCTCTTCAAAAGAATCTCATGCTTAACCGTATCTAAGGCAGCATTCAAATCTAATAGAACTAACAATGAAATGTTCCCTGCATCTGCGTTTGGCCAAATATCATTTCATTTGTTACTTTATTTAGACCATGGTGTAGTCTAAAGCCTGACAGATGTTCATGGAAAGAATTGTTTGAAAATCCATGAATTGTTAATGAATAACTTCTTCAATGACTTTTCTATTGATGAAATCAGTCTATAGTTCTGCAGCACCGTGTCATTATCTTTGATTACATGAATTATGTGTGTGCATGTGTCGAATAATGTGTGTGTGCATGTGTCGAATAATGTGTGTGTGGATGTGTCGGAATAATGTGTGTGTGCATGTGTCGAATAATGTGTGTGTGGATGTGTCGAATAATGTGTGTGTGCATGTGTCGGAATAATGTGTGTGTGCATGTCTGTGTGCATGTGTCGAATAATGTGTGTGTGCATGTGTCGGAATAATGTGTGTGTGCATGTGTCGGAATAATGTGTGTGTGCATGTGTCGGAATAATGTGTGTGTGCATGTGTCGGAATAATGTGTGTGTGCATGTGTCGAATAATGTGTGTGTGCATGTGTCGAATAATGTGTGTGTGCATGTGTCGAATAATGTGTGTGTGCATGTGTCGAAATAATGTGTGTGTGCATGTGTCGGAATAATGTGTGTGTGCATGTGTCAAATAATGTGTGTGCATGTGTCGAATAATGTGTGTGTGCATGTGTCGGAATAATGTGTGTGTGCATGTGTCGGAATAATGTGTGTGTGCATGTGTCGAATAATGTGTGTGCATGTGTCGGAATAATGTGTGTGTGCATGTGTCGAATAATGTGTGTGTGCATGTGTCGAATAATGTGTGTGTGCATGTGTCGCATAATGTGTGTGTGCATGTGTCGAATAATGTGTGTGTGCATGTGTCGCATAATGTGTGTGTGCATGTGTCGAATAATGTGTGTGTGCATGTGTCGCAGTGGATTGTGACTCACTCGAGGCCTTCGAGCAGTGGTGACAGCTGCTCCTTTTAGCTGTCGTAATGCAATTGTAGTCTACGTAATAACAACAGCCAACCATGGAGAACCCACATGTGTAATATACAGTACCATTATAGACGTACAAGGCATGTCCAAACTCAGGCCCTGGGGCCAACTGCGGCCCTCAGTGTCATTTTATGTGGCTCTCTGCCTTGCAAACCCAAAGTACACTGTGTCATCCATCCAACTTCAGCCAATATACATTGGTTGTACCTCATTCAAAAGCCCAGTACGTCTGAAATTCAGTTGTTGACTTTATTTGTACTGCACTGGCGTGGTTATTGCTTATTGATGCTTCTGTAGCTGGTGAGATGGTACATCTCCAGTTACAGTCATGAGCTGAAGTTGGTCATTCAGCCAACTTCAGCTCTGTTATAGATCATTTTAAAGCTCAGAACAGCCCGAATGTGTCAAGAAAGTTTTTCGATCTGTGATGTCGGCCCCTGGACTAGTCTAGTGGTCCTCTACCTAAAATGGTTGGACGCCCCTGCCTCGTACAGTATTACAGCATTTATGAAGAGATTTATAGGTAAGAATAGATTTAATTACTATAATAACTAGTAGTTTTAGACCATTCATTTTATTAACATTTTCTGCTGCAATATAGCAATTCTTGAAAGTAAAAAAAAAAAAAAACTTAAATAGTTGCCAAAAACTGGGTGGTCCTCATAGGAAATCTGAAGTGCTATGCCTGAGGTGAACAGAAATCCTGTTGCTATGTCAGCTGCGTACTTTCTGCAGAGGTAGATCTATAGGTCAAGCTTAAGAAGTGTCTTATTTTCCTCTGGATACAAAGAAGACTACTGGTCATATGGAGACAGGTCTTGAGAGGCGATGGTTCTGCAGCTTAGCATTGTGGAATTGATAAAGGCTTCCGAGATCATCACTATGGTAACCTATGGCCAACATCCAGTGCACTGTTATGAAAGGATTATGCTGCCCAAGAACCACAGGAGGGATACATTTCCATTTACTTTGCGCTAATCCACAGAAGCAGTCGTATCTGAGGACTTAGCAACATCGTCAAATCTGCAACATCAGATCAGAGAATCAAACTGTTATGAAACAGGAAATACAAAAAAATAAAAAATAAAACATTGAAGCCATACAACATGACCATATTACATGAAAGAGGGGACTGATTTTTTTTTTATAAAGTACATTCATTTTTCTCTCTGACATCCGGGGAATTTTGCACCAAATTTTCTTTTAATACTAATATTGAGAAAAAACCTGGTGAAAATCTGGAATTGGATTTTGGTTCTTTTGATGACAGATTTCAGCTGCTTTTTACTCAGACTGTGGTTCTGTCGTTACTTACAGGATCAGAAGTGAGTTAAAAACACCCTTGATAATAATAATAGTGAGAGAGTGCACTGGTATCTGCTATAGACTGTGTAAAGATGAAATTGCTATAGACTTTATAAAGAAAACATGGCTAACACAGAGGCCTGGGAGCTTGAACTTGAGGATTTTTGCTGTTCTTAGCACTGCACATTTCTGGACCGAGATTTCTGATGTTGTTCCAGGGATTTGCTGTAAGTCCTCCAGCTTCAGGGTCACGGCACCAATCACCACAGCCACAACACTGCTGGCACTTTAACCTCCCGGGTCCTCTCCAGCTCCTCTCCTCTCTCTGGTATTTCTCAAGCTTGTTGTGGCCACATCCACCACACCTCTGCATCTCGAGACAAAACTACTTCTACTTATAATACTTTACTGATAATATTTATTACTCCCTGCTTCTACTAGTGCAGTGTTTTTGGTGGGAAAAAATGCAGATATACAG